CAGCATTTAGTTCTAAATCTTTCAAACAAGAAAATCAGCATTCGCTTTGGAAGGAATAGGAAAGGAATCCAGTTACAAAAGATTTGCATAGTTCCTGTACAAGAACTATATGTCTTAACTTAAGGCTGATGAACTTTATTTACTTAATGAAAATAACCACAAAAATACATATAATATGATGAAAAGAGAATTTGAAAATCCCAAATGTTCTCCTTGTGTAAATACTGCAAAGATCAAATTATTTTTCCAAATCTGCCTTTTCTGCAAGTATTGTAGTACTTTCTGCTCCTAATTAAAAAAAAAAAAGAAAAGAAAAACACAGTGTAAAGCTGGTCTATCTCATGGTATTTCTGCTGTTATGAGAAGCCAAGAATTAGCTGACTTTTTTTTTTTTTAATTTAGAAGGAAGGGAAAGTTAACTAGATTTTTTTAATAGTTATGAAGTTCAACAAGATGAAAGTATCACAAGTAAAGAGCAACAGGATGCAGCTTTTATTTGCATAGTAGGTGACCTTGCAGTCCTCACCATCTATGCCAGTTACTTRTTTTTACTGTTTGAAATGGCAAACTCCTCCTTTGAACCAGTTTTGAAATAATATTCATCATACTTTCTATTGCATAAAAACTTAGATAAAAACTTAGCATTAGCACTCCATTGTTGAATGTCTTCATATGTATCTTAAAAGAAAGTGCCTAGATTAATAGATTCTTATTTTCTTGTACATAAGTGCTACATTATGAAAGTAGTGGTTTAGTATTAGGCTTGAAATGCAGCACTGTCCACTCCACATTCAATATCAAAATTCTGTTATACCCCAATAGCAGACTAACTGCATGGCAAGACCCTGAAATACTATTTGCATTTCTGCTGCAAGACTGAAGGAGAATAAGTAAACATTAAAGCTTCACACATTAATATRTGGAAATGCCGAATGTTTTGGGTTTAGTTTCACAAAATAGTTATGTCTCAGTTAATTTAAAAGGTGGACTTTAAAGCTTCCTTTTCTTTTGATTTGAAGAAGAAAGTGCAAAAGAGTTTTCCAAAGACATATTAAATATGATTTTTCTTCAGTTATGTTAGAAAATTAAGTATAGATGAAAATGCCTGAAGGTATCTAGAAACCAGGAATGGAGAAATTACTTTAGGCTTTGTAGTATGAATAAGTATCTTATCATTAATACAAGTGTACTCAGAGAACATGGAATGGGAAGAATTGATTCCCGGCCTTTGCAATCTCAGTCACAACTTCATATAATTTCTTCTTGTGAAAGTATCTTTAAAGAATGGCAATTGTATATAAAAAACACATATGTTGCAATAAAAGAAAAAATCACTCTTCAAAGTAAGTTTTTGGCTTTGCTAAATGATACCAAAAATGATTGTATTTGTTATTTAGATTTTTTTGAAAGAAAAACTCAGCAAAAGTCTTGTAAGAATTTAAATTTAAAAATTTTCATTTCAGTCATTTCTGCTCATTGTTCTTCAATTTTTTTGCTTCTCTGCTTTGTCCTTTGTCTTGTTCAGAGCCCTAGACTACACCCACAGCCGCTTTYGGGAAGCTTTCCTGACATGTGGTTTCTGTAGTTTCCCTCTGCTTTTCATCACTGGTAGAAGGTTCTGTCCTTGTGTATGGCTGGTTTCGCAGACAATTATTGAAACTCYTCTCTTTTACTTGCTGCTGGCTTGTTTACATAGCATTCCATCAGCTTAATTTGCAAAGTACTGCTTTGCAAAAGGTGGAAAGTCTAAGCTTGTCAAAAGAGAAGCGTAACAAGGAGGGCTGTAATCACTTGGGATTATAGGCAGATATGAAATTTCCATAGATAGGAAAATACAAAATGTACATATCAGTTCATAAATTGGGAGACAGGTTATCTTATCTCTTCATGGAAGAACTTTCAAGAGCACGAAGAAAAATTGCTTGAGTATTTGAACCGTCCAGAAAAGAAGAATCATTTGCATATCTGCCTGGGCCACCTTTCAAAATCTAGACAGCTGACTGTAGAGTTTGCCTGTTGAAATGAGCTTTGCACATTTGTTGAGCCAAAATTTAGACACAGCGTCAGTCACACTTCYATAGTAAGTTTCAAGGAATTCAACTAATTTTAAATGTCATACTGCCTTTCCTACCTCTCAATCTAACCATTTAGCTGCATATCTTTCACAGAGAAAAAAAAAAACAAAAATCCATAGAGATTATCTCTATTATCTAGTTATCTAGTGTCTTTGGTCCAGATGAAAAATTTCAGGTGGGGGGTGAAAATCCCTATCAAGAAGTTTTGCTTTTATTCAAGCAATAGACTATACATTTACAAGGTGGTACATATACACTAGCAATGGCAGTCAGAGAAGCTTTTGTTTTTCCCCAGAATATACATGGGAAATTTGCTGTAAGCCTAACTCCCTTTCTGTGCAGTTCGCCTGGTAATAGAATTGGCAGAAATGTTGCCCTTCCTCTATTCCTTTGAGCTTATCTTTTGACTTTTTGACTATGTAGGGTTATCAGAAGCATAACCCTATGTTTCTTCTACATAAACATTTAGATTCTCTTTCAATGTCTGCATTTATCTCTGTTATTTATTCATTCTGTTATATTTAGGACTTCAGCCCAAAGTTTGCTCTTGGGCTCTACCCTTTTTCCACAGGCTRTGGTGGCTACTTTTGACCCTCGAATTGTATGGCAGTAACCTCTCCCTTCCACTCTCAAGAATTGTCCTGCCTGTGGTAGAAAATATTATGTTCCTGATGAGCACACCCGCTGCTTTTGCAGAAGGAAACATCCCAGCTAAATGTTCTGTTTAGCACTTAGTCCCATAACTAAAAAAATGGAGTGCAGCATCTTCTGGAATTTTTATTTACCMTCTCCTTGAGTGACTTGATGGATTGGCTTAGCCAAGCTAACACAATACAATTGGAGCACTCCTCTGCTCGTAAATCAGCCCCGAAAAGAACAAAATGCAATCAAAACCATTCTTTGTCTCAAGGTCACTCCCTAGCTCTAGGAAAATTCATACTCTCCCTGTCTGCACTTCCATGAATTCCTAAAACCTTTCAGCTCAAAAGGATTTCAAGAGGATATCTGGTAATTTTTACTTAAAATTCTCCTAGTGGCCTGTTGAGGTGAGCATAGAAATGAAATTCCAATGGCTGGCATTTCTTTCTACCTCTACTTTTTTATCATTGAAGTGCACAAGCTAAAATTYCTTCTACTGTTGACCATTTGACTAGTTAACCCTCTTCCAACTTCAGTAACAGTTAGACACCAGGCCATCTGATGCCACCATATGATACAGATACTGAACAGAAAGAGTCGTTTCTTCCTCTTTCCTGAAACCTTCTAACATTTCCTTTTGAAGGAACACATYCTTGGCACTGATGGATCCCACAACAGCCCAGGCCAATCACAGGGTGACTACAAAGCTTTCTTAGAACTAATAAATAGGATCAACCCTTGAAGCTTTGTACTTTGCCTTATATTGCAGATGTGTCATTGTCATTCAGCTCTGTTTTCTGGACTCTAACCATCTCATCTGGCAAAATCCAGCATCATGCAGAGTTACATACTGGGTATGTCTCTCATCCCAACAAGAGACACAAGCTTTTCCTTTCTTCCKTTCCTTGCAACCTAGTATGTTTGGCAGTTGGTGCCATAGGAAGGAAAAGCTTGTCAAAAGAATTATTCTGCTGCCATAGGAAGAATAAGCTTGTCTAAAGAATCATTTTATCTACAAACTTCATAAAAAGATTTAAATGATTTTATACGCAGTTTTTTTTGCTTCTATCAGTGTGCATTCTTACTATGTAACTTGGCACTTATGGTCAGCTTATGGTCAACTTATGACACTTATGGTCAACTTATGGTCAGCTGTGCCCATAAACTTCTTACCGATATGATTTCATTTTCAGGCCTRTATCAGCCTGAACTGAGGAAAAAGTCTTGACTCCATTTTTAAGAGTCTGCAAGACTACAGCTACATGTTAGGCTGTAGAGGTCACTTTTGAGAATGTCTCATTTTGAGGACATCTCTAGTTTCCCCATAGAGAAGGATGTACTTTGAAAGGTTTGGAGGGCAATGCTGAGATCTCTAGGAATGTTCTAGTTCTGAAAGGCCATATACTATATACTTAAGAATATATACTATATAATTCTATGATATCCTCCTCATCATTTTTATATAGCATGCCCTACTTGGTTAGTTCCAAAGCTAGTTCCCTAGCTTTGATTATCCCTTCTATTATTTTCTAAACCTTTTTTAATTTTACTGTATTTTTTTAAGATGGGTAAGATGTAGTAGAATTGAGTGTTCTGTTCAAGACTGAGACATGGTATGGATTTATACAGAAACATAATGATGCTCTCTGACATGTATTTCTGTTCTAAAAGCATACTTTTTCAGAGTCCAGCTAGTGACCTTTGGTTATAGTTTATGTTGATTACTCATACTCTGATGCTATTCRGAACCCCTAGAACTTGATCAAACGGGTACATTCTGAAATGCGACAGCTCCTGCAGCCTTCTTTTGTATAGATTTGTAGGTATTCCCAAATACACATTTATTATTGATATAAGAAAGTAATACTACCCCTCCGTTTTCTTCACTGTCAGATCTAATGAGAAACAGAAGAAATTGTGGCAGATGAAGAAATTTTAGATATCCTGAGGCATGTGAGACACTCACCTGCACCTGGCAAATACGATACAGCAGATAAGGGGCTCTTCTGGAGTGACAGCTTGAACTTGGAAACAATACCCTGTGGCATCTAAAATAAATCACATTTATTTAGGTGTTGAATTTCTTCCTAGATTTTGGTCTGTAGAACAATCAAACTCACATATGTCAATCAGGAGAGCTGAATTAGCCGTGATTCTTGGTGAAGGCCACGTACAGCAGTAGCTGCTGTCTTTTGGATAACTGTCATGTCCATTCCTATTTTTAAGATCTGCTTGTTAAATAGAGCTTGAATATTTAAAAACAAGGATTCTTTTATTCTCAATCAGGATTCTGGAGAAATGGTTCGGTCCTTTGTTGGTGGCTTGGAACTGATAGTCAACTTGCTTAAATCAAAGAATAAAGAAGTTCTAGCAAGTGTATGTGCAGCCATTACAAATATAGCAAAAGATGAAGAAAATTTAGCTGTTATAACAGACCATGGAGTTGTCCCTCTGTTGTCAAAACTAGCAAACACAGTAAGTACCATCTAAACATGTACTAAGTATCTGATTTTTTTTAGGTCAAATTGCATCATACCCAAATAAAAAGTTAGGACATTAAAAGTTAGGACATGAACAGTAAATATAAAGGAGGAGAAAAAAAAAAAAAAAAAGGAAAATCTTTCTCTTTGAGAGGTATATCAGAGAGGTATATGGAAACATTCCTTAGCTGGTTCCAAAATTACTGTGGAGGAGCTTAATTTTCGTAATCCCTATTGCTGAATATGGCTTTCCAGTGGTGCAGCTGTCCTATGGAAAAAGAGATGCAATGAAAAGGGATGAGAGAGCAATAAATCTGAACCACAGAGAAAGTCTCAATGATGGGACTATATGTAACATTGTAATGCTAATCTCGAGCCATTCTAAAAACACCTTTGAAATAATATAAAAATAATTATATAAAAAATTCCCAGCACCTCTTACAAAGATAATAGTAAGAGCTAGCTCTATAGCTCTACTGTGCTAACAAGAGAGCTCAGTGCTCTCTAGTTTTAAAATACTRTTACAATTAAATTGGGATTCCTTATGGTGTTTGAGAATACAATTCTGCTTTCCTATGAAATTTTTAACCCATTTTAACATATCACATTTTTTATGTATTATATTTTTATCTTCTTCAGAACAATGACAAGTTAAGACGTCACTTAGCAGAGGCCATTTCCCACTGTTGCATGTGGGGAAGCAATCGAATTACCTTCGGAGAGACAAAAGCTGTAGCTCCTTTGGTACGTTACTTGAAATCAAATGATCCATCAGTCCATAGAGCTACAGCTCAGGCTTTATATCAGCTTTCAGAGGATCCCAACAACTGTATCACCATGCATGAAAACGGAGTGGTGAAGGTGAGGCGAAAGGTTTTTTCTCTTTGGAGTTCAAATCACTGAAGGGGTTTGACATGATGAAAAAGGAGAGTGCTATAATTTGAAATACTTTTGAAAATATTTTAGCATACTGCTGCCTACCTCAAATTTTCTCAAATTTATCCTAGAAACATTCGGTTAAACAATGAGTTATGAAAGAATATTTCAGTTCTGAAGATCTCACAGCTAGATGATTATTACAGTATGGACATATGATATTGACATTCACCTCTAGAATGCTTTACTTGAGTCTTACTTAGGTTGGTAATCAGCATTTTATCATTTTCAAGTGGCTTTTGCAAAAGAAGTTGAGTCATCTTAATGGAAGTTGCCTGGTATGGCAGAAAGCCACCTAGGAGTTCAGTGCAACTGTGTCCACTTATAAAATACTTTTGAGGCCAAATTAAGGTAGAATAATACAAAGCTTCATTCACCTGGAATGCATTCAGTATTCACTTATAAAAAAATCTTATTTTAAGAATTAAGTATGAGCACATTCCCCAGAGGCTTTTCTCTAGTATGAATTTAGCTCAGAAAGATTTTTCCAGTTTGGTTTTATCTCAGAAATTGAAGCCAATAGAGTTAGTTATTTCATTGGCATAGGAGGCATAAAGATTACAGTCTTAGAAATGAAGATTGTAGGACTTGTCTGTTTTCATAAATTTCCTGAAAAGTTTGCTGTTTGCAGGTTTTTCTGTAACATGTAGATAAATGTATTGATACTAAGAGTTAAATTATACGATTTTATTGTTAATGTTAAATTTATGCCTACAGTAATGATAGTACATTTGCTTATAAATAGTTTCAATTCTGGCACAGTTTAAAGGCCTTGCATGATCATACATGTATCTAGAGTTGGCAATAGTCTGGTTAGAAAGACTCAGCTGGTCACAATGCTGGACTCATCTTTCCAAGCTGCTCTCTCAGCTTTCAGTAGCCTCTTCCCATCACAGTTGCCATATACTAGCTACATAGAACAGGGAAATATATACTCTATTACAGCTCATTTTCAAACTTTAGTGTCTGATGACTTCTGTTGTTGCTTATTTTTCCATTCAGCTGACACAAACCACMATGTGTCCCCCTCCTTTTTCTATTGTCTGCCTTTCTGTGACCTATTATTTTCATTCCCTTCATTATGCAGGTCCTTTAGGTTTACAAGCTGTAACACACTGAAAGCATTGTATGAAAACAATCTTGATGATATGCTTTGGTCRTAATTCCAGCTGGGTGTAGGTTAATTTTTAGTCTTCAGGCCTAGTTAAAATATTTAGACTAATTAAAAGCATTTATTTGCTCTTATTGGGAAACAGAGATTTGCAGCAAAATATGATTTTGCTTTTTTAAAAAATACAATATTCTGAAATATCTACAAGATAKTAAGAGGGAGAAAATACAACTAGTAAAATAAATTGATAATGGTACAAAATAAAGAAACCTAGGTTAAATCTTTTGCATCTATAGGTATTGGGGTAAACTTTTTGGCTAATGTGCACGTCCCTTTTTTGTCTACAAGAAAGATAACATGTGTACAAGCGTATGACCACATGATTTTAAGTGGGTCTATCATAAAAAGACAAGTGGAATTGCTTCCCATCTCATAATTGACGATTTATCTGAACTTATGAGGGTATAAATGACCTGTTCTCAGCATGTGAACCAGCGTATGCATGAACTGTGGTTCATAAATTGAAACAGAATAGTTCCAACTGGATATAAGGGGGAGAAAAACACTATGAGGATAATGTAACACTGGAGCAGTTTCCCAGGGAAGCTCTAGAATCTCTATCTTTGGGGGTTTTCCAGGTCTGACTCAACAAAGCCATCTAGCATCTGGTCTGGATTCAGTGTTGATCCTGCAGGAGGTTGGACTAGACACCTTCCTGAGATCCTCCAACCTTCCTGAGATCCTTTCTAACCTGAATGAGTCTGTGGTTCAGATGATTTTCATCAAAAGAGGAAAATAATGATTGGTCTTTGCAAGCTTCCTCCTTTTCTCACTTTTGATAACTGAGGAATATTCTACAGTTTAACAGKGGACTTGCCCCATACCCAGGACAAATCCAATCAAGGAAAACAATTATGATAATAGATTTTCCCAGTGTCCAGAAGAAGTCATCCCCTCTAGTCCCCATCTAATGTGGAAGGAACTTTCTTCACTAAATCCAATTAAGTGGRTTTTTCAAAAGAAACAATGTCAATCACCCTTTTGTTTAGACACTTATGGCAACGTGTAGAATAAAAGGTCTGCATTCTGTTCTGTATCATTCAGAAATGGAATATTCATTCCATGAACAGAAGTTAGGTTGAGTTCTTAGGACTGTCTACAAATAAGAATGACTAAAAGATGTTAAGTTACCCTGCTTAACTTTAAGTACTTCAAAACTCTATRAAGATTAGCTTTAGCTATCCTCCTCTGCAGTTCACAAGAGCTCAGAGTTTTGTGAGGAAAGCAGACTGATGTTCCTGAAAAGACTGGTTCTATAATGAATGTTTAAAAATACAACCAAACCTGATCAAGAATTAAGATGTTAAAGAAGAGCAATAAAATTAAAACTCTGTGAGCACACTTTACCATGAAAAACCTAGAATTCCTGCTAAATATCACAATTTGAAAAAGCATTGGGATAGATTTTTGAAAGTCATTCAGAATACCAGGGAATYGTCTCTAATGTGAAAAGGCCCCACTGTTGATTCATGCCATAAGCTGTTCAGGTTGGTAGGCTGGAATCTTGCCATAGCCAAGAGGTGACTGTGAACCAAATACATACCCAGGAAGAGGAACATCAAGATTCCTTATTGCAGAGTTTGTTTACAGGCAGTAAAGTGGAAATAACCTTGGAAGCCATTAATTTACCTGAAGGATTAACCATTAACCAGTCCCCCCAAAAGCAAAAATAATGGTAGTTTGTCAGAGTGCATTTTCAGACAAACCAAATCAAACCAGCCATCCATACCATCCACACCAAAAAAATGTCAACCAGTGCACAATCAAACATACCGAATAACTGTGAATGTGTAAGAAGGCGTCTGTCCAGCTCYTTAAGAAAACTGTTTTCCATTCAGACTCCTACTGAAAYCAGTGTGTAAGGGACCTCTAGAGATCATCTCGTCCAASCCCCTGCTCCAGCAGGGACACCCAGAGCACGGAGCATCCAGGCAGCTTTGGAAGACCTCCAGAAGAAGCACAGAAGATTGTGCTTCTTCTGTTCTAATTTACACTAAAATAAGGCCCCTCATTCTCTACTGACAATACTATCTGGTCTCTTTTGATTATAACAGAAGTCCAGGTTCACAATTTCAATTACACATCTACACTATAGGTACCTATGCTTAGAGAGGTATATACCATTCTAAGGCAGGAAGGAACAAAAATTCCCATATAGAATGCCTATACAGTCTGGTCTGTTATTAAATGGGAGAGACAGAATTCTGAATAATAGTTCAATTAGAGTTATTCAAAAGTATTTTATTTGCTAGGGATATGATACGATGATAATGAAATAGTATCTGCCCAGCAGTAACAGGCACCTGTTATAGTAAAGACAGAGGTTTTAAATTCTAATCTAATTCTGGATCTAATTAACTAGAGTACAGGGTTTTGAAAAAAAAATCCATGGAACACTAAGGATGGATTCCTTTCTAACTTGGCCACTTTTAGGTGTGTAGTTCAAAGTTGTCTAAACTAAGGCACTTTGTGTAGTCAATGAAGAAAGAGAGGCACCTGTAGACTTACGCTAGCTGCAAGTAAGTGTCGAAAACATCTGGATGGAATAGGCTTGTGAGGGCCTGAATAGACTTGTGAAGAGCCTGGCTTTCTCTACTGAGTAGAGGATGGGACCTAGGTGACTAGTTCAGACTCAAGAGCAACTTTTAGACAGCTACATTTAAATTAATATCCTCCTAAATGTTGACTAGTCTTGTAATACAGGGGAAGTTGAAGCACTGGARGAAAGGTAATGTTGTGCTAATATTTAAAAAGCCTAAATAAGACTATAGGTCTATAAATCAGGCACTATTTTCATTTTAGATGGTCATGGATTCATACATTATAATACTAGAAGGGATTATGATGATGGTGCAGTCTGATCAGCCAAGCTCATACAGAGCTTAGACATTGCTTCAATTTGCTTCTCTTTGGAATAGAGTCTATCTTTTAGAAAAACACTGACTATTTACTTTAAAAATTCCAGTGATGGAAAATCGTCTAGAGCCATTATAACTTGTTCCAGTAGCTAAATACCTTCCTCTTAAAAACATTTGCACCTTATTGGTAGCCTAAATTTGTCTAGCTTTATCTTATGCCATTACATGTATGACACTGTTGCTTGGTAGACTGAAAAGCCCCATCTAACTTGTCTTCTGATACACATTCTTATAAATTAAGATCAAATCACACCATAGTTATCTCTTGGTGGAATTTCTGATGGGATCTCTATGCTCTCCTTTCAATTCTTTTTT